CATGGACATACACATCGTTTTTTTTTTTTTTTTTTTTTTGTCAGAAGCTTGTTGAGACACAGCCCTGCTCAGCTGGTAATGCTGGAAAAGAGAGATCTGCACATAAGATCTCATTTCAGAGCCAGTGACTGGAATGCCAAATGGGGAGAAACTTATTCTGTGCAGGAAAGACTTAAAAAGCACCAGCTCCACCTAAAGGCAGCTGCGACATCTGCGGCTAGAAGCTAAAAATAAAAAAATCCAAACATTTATGTTGTTGATGCATTTATGTAATTAAATGACTGGGTTATGGATAAAATATATTAACTACATGTACACTACATACACTACATGTGCAATAAAACATGCAGTATTTTCTTTCCAAGACAATAACCTTGATGGGATTCTAATCCAGGGTTTTCACCGCATGATTCTTACTTAACTTAAAACCTGGATGTTGAACAAAGGACATAAATCAATAAATCAATGAGATTAAAAGTTTGGCAATAAGAAGACAAAAAGTCTTTGTTGCATCTCAAACAGGAGTTTATTAACAAAGGTGGAGTTTTTTTTTTTGTCTTGCAGGGGAAAAAAGATTTCTGTCAACATCTGACTTTATCTTCCAAAAGTTAGATAAGTTGCCCTTTAAGGCAGTTTTTAATCAACAAGTTCAAATAATCTCAACCAAGTCAGGCTTATTTAATCTCCTTCAGCTTCAGCTCAGTTTTAATACTTTAATACAGCAAAAATTAAAATAAGTTAATAGATTTTAACTTTCCATTGTCCATCTATTTTAACAAACTCCTCCTTCGGCAATGAAGCTTATAATTAAACTCACTTGGACAAAAAAATCTTTAAGAATATTAGCTCTCATTAAAAGTAGATGCTAGAGATTATTGCAAATTTAAGATTAAAAGAGTAAACATGCACCAAAGCAATTTATTTTAATTATATTTAAGCAAGTGTGTGTAAATATTGTGAGATCTAATGAGCTTTAAGTTAAATTGTGTCAACATGAACATCCGAAACTTCTGTATCTTTGTCAAAATTACTTTTTAAGGAGTTATTGTTTTTATATTCCTGGCCATAGTATGTAACTGTGTTATTCATAACATCCTATAATCTTCTATAAAGAGCTTTAATAGTCTGATCTTTTGTGAGGTTTCAGTTTTTACCTGCTGTGCCATCTTGGTCGCTTTATTGCATGTTTTGTTTGTTTTCCTGCTTCAGTGGTTGAATTCCCTTTTCAGTATGACCACAAGTTATGCAGAAGCCTGTTGATCACCGATTCGTTTAAAATTAGGGGCTTTGGAGAAGAGAAACAGCTAAAAAAAAAAAAAAAAAAAAAAAAAAACTGGGATTGGATGCAATCGTGGCTGTAATGCTCATTTTCGTCCAGCAGGCGGCAGAATAACACAAAACCTGAACCAGTTTTCTTGCATTAATCTATAACCTTCATGTAGTGTTTTGCTTATTGTGCCCGATACTTTGTTCAAAATATGATCCAGATAGTTAATAAAAAACATTTATTTTCATCTTTTCTTTTGCGTTTCACCCTGGTAAACGCTATTTTAGTGTGGACAAAGAAAATACATAAATTTGTTCAGATTACAAAACAAACACCAAAGCATCAACCACATATAGTTTCCTCCCAAGTTCCACATAATGAAAGCATGCGTGAGTCATCTTGGCAAATATGAAGATCAGTTCGTTGAGGCGTGGGACCCACGTGATCAGGTGACAGCAGCCTGTCAAATAAAAGGTTCAGAAATTAGAATGTTTATTGATAATAATAATAATAATAATAATAATAATAATAATAATAATAATAATAATAATAATAATAAATCAAAGATGTGCTTGTTTTAGGGTGACAGGCGTCACTTTTACGTGACGAATCTGCGGTTTACCATCAAGCTAAGTCCAGCTTCTTCTGTGTTTCTAGCAGTTTGTCCTGAAGTCGTTTCTTCCTCCAGTCCAGAAACTTTCTCCTCATTCTGTTCGCCTGCCAGCCTGACAAAAATCCCACGGCAAAGGAAACTACAACAGCGACTTGAAGCGTCCTCTCCGAAATGTCCGCCATGTTTACGCTCTGAAGGCACAGGAAGTAAAACGGAACTGTTTGACCTCTTTCAAAATAAGAGTTGAAACTTTTTTTTAGATGGCTTTTGTGATTTCGTCATCTTTCAAGTGAAAACATCCCATAATTATGATTTCGCATTTTTCTGTCCTGAAATATCGTCTCTATTACAACTTAGCATCTCATAAACATGACTAAAATGATATAGCACCTGAAAACTACAACCTTACCTGGCGTCTCATAATAATGAAAATATAGATGTCATATTTGGAGATAGTATTTTAGAATTAGATTTGTATTAAGAGGAAAATGAGCTCTCATACAAGTTCACTACTTGACATACATAATTTTAAAAAGTTACCCAGTAGAGTTATAAAAAAAATAAAACACATACTTTTACATTGACAAACACAAAGTAGGTGCAAATCATTGTAAAATAGAAAAATAACTGTAAATGTCTTTTTAAGAAGGTTCATGTGCAACATGCGTGTTATTGTCTTGCAAACCTTTAGAGTTAGATTTGTAGCACTTTGTTTTTTAGTTAATTAAATGGTAAAGTTTAATAAAGGACAAAGCAATTTACAATTTCTGTACAAGCCTACACATAAAAGAATTAGGTGCGCCTAGTTTTATTTGAGAGATGAAAACGTCAGAAAACATTGTTTTAAAATGACATAAAAATTAACTACAAAAATGAGACATAAAATTGATGCAAAACAATAAGTCACAGAAGTGCTTTAAACAAACTAAAGTCATAGCTGCTAAAACATAAAATAAAACTAATGTCCATTTAATTCCCACATCTAAGTTAAAATATGTAGGAAAACAATCACAAAGACTTAAAAAAGACCAAAATAATACCAAAAAACAACAATCATGAGATGTAAATGACCACAAGATGACACTAAACTTTACCAAACATTTTCTGAACACGGTTTTAAATATTCACGAGACACAAATTGTGTCTGTGTGGTATGCAGTTGTTTTGTGTCTCTCTTGTTGTGTGTGTCAGTGTTTTTTTTTTTTGTTTTTTTTTCCACATTTGTGTCCTTGTTTCATAAATTATCCAGGCTCAAAACTGACTGGGGGGTTTTAAGACACTTGTAATACAGAAAAACACAAACATGTTTTTTTCCCTTCTGGATGTTTTCTTGTAGTATATATTAAAAAAAACATAAATAAACATCAAGTGGGGTACAAGCTTGGAAAAATAGTTTGAGTTTAAGCAGAAGTTTGACATAAAATGAATATGATTAATCATTAAGTTTAACACAGTGATGTCTGCACATCATAAGAAAAAAAATAACTTCCCCATGAAATTAACGCAAAAACGACAACTTCCTCTTTTACACTTTTGCAATAAAATATTGCCAGGCCAGGCTACCATGAAAGGGAAATTATCAGAAAAAAATCCTAGTTGGTGAATACTAAGAACATAGCAGCATCATGATAGATGTCATCATCCAGCCACACTGATAAGTTATGGATATTTTAAACGAGGATGTCAGTCAGTGTGAAGG